TGGAAATGTTAGTATTTATGTTATTGCTCTAAGCTTAGGATTCTTCCATCTGAGGCATTTTCTGCCAGGCCGTAGCTACCATGATTTCGACATGTTCATTAGACGAAGTGATACTTTTTTCCCGAAACTAGGAACTTTCACGGCGACTGATTCTTCGGACAGATTGTGCTCTCTCTTTATATTTCTTTTGGTTCCCTTTGAAAACACGTTCAATTTGCGGAAATAAGATTAAACCATTAAGTATTGTTTTTGTGACTACCAGTAAATCAGCAATATGAGATTTATTCACCCAATTTCGTTTAAGGTGATGAAGGACTGTTAGAAGAAGAATTTTCTCACAATTATGAGTTGGGCTGACGTTTTAATTGAATTTCACATAGCCTTGTTTTCCCAAAAGTTGTTCTCATCGTGTGTCCACTCCTTCATCATTTTAAACGAAATTGGGTGAATAAATCTCATTAAGATCATACCACTTATGTACTTCAAGATGAATATACCTTTTATAATTGTCGTCATTACTTCAAAAGGCGATTGATGTATAGACTTTGTACAACTGTACATACATCAAATTTGATCTTTCGCAAGGTCGTTGGTATCTTCGAAACATTACCTTTCATATCTCAACTTTATTTGGTGCGTTTTGTTCTGAGATTACGAGCAGATTCTGGAGGATAGGGACTCTTTTACGTTTATGTCAAATTTCAATTGGTTCCTATCTGAGACGCACGTCTTTATTTATGAGCTTCGTAGATCTTGTTCAACTATTATTCCTCTTTTGGTTCAAAAAAAATCCTCAGTGTTGATAAAGTTACTGCCGCCATTGAGTTGATGCTTCACAAATATGTGTGATCTACAAACTGAACTTAAACTTGACACCAAGACACCACCTTCTTCTTATTGCACCCCTTTTTGCTGCACTGTCAAACGGATACAATCTTCCCAAGGATGTATCAGATGACCTGCCGAAAGGGCTTGATTGTAATCTGGCAAGAACTCAGAATTTCAATCGTCCTGCTCGCACCGAAATACGGATAGAATGGATCCCCAAAGCATAATTCCTTATCATAATTGTCCAGCAACCGCAGGAGCTTCACTTCCTGCGGGGGACACTTGAAAAAAACCTCAAACAGGCCCAGCAATTCGGCCAGCCATGAGTAGCTGTTCACGCCATAAACATGCACTCGCGAGCCAGGCGTCATTTTTCCCAGTGCCAACAGGCCATTTGGCCTCTCCCGGAGTAATTGCTCTTGTCGAGTGGTAAGCGCCAACCCAAGTCGTCACAATAAGGTGGGGCGTGTTCATAAATGCTAATAACAATCTGATAAACAGAAGATATACGGAGAGAATAGTTCTACTGTTGCTAGGGCAATTGACTGATGAGCCAGGACGTAATGACAGTGTATATTGACCCAGCTGTGCCAGTTGGTAACCAATTATAGGTCATGTGTGGGGTTGGGTCTGCGCCACTACCGGCTCTGGCTTACCGGACAGGTCTGTGCACAAAGTACAGATAACCGCGAACGACCAAGGTCTTGGTATCCGACCCTTGTGGATCAGCCATAAAAGTAAGCGCAACAATTAGCCCACCTGGAAAAAACTCTGCTCTCAACCTGGATGGGTGACCTACTTTTAAGTTGTGCTTGGAAGGACTTAGCTTCTACATGTTCGCGGTAATTTGGTGATGAGACGTGTGGTGAATGGGACAAAGAAGGAAGTACCCTGTTATGAACAGATGTTGACGGTGTGCTCTACTATTGCATTTGAGGTTAAGCCTGTGATTGAGGCTCTTCTACGAGTGAAGATTCTTCAGA